GTAACCTTTAATCCTCTCATACATGCAGAGCAATCCTTGGCCCGGCCGATGCAGATCACAAGTTTAAAGCTGATGAAATTCCCTGTAGCAAAAAAACCCAAGCCACTCTATTGAAAGGCATCCAAAGGAGCAGCCCCGAGCTCTGCCTCCTGAGCAGCCGCGTGTGGTCCTGAATATCAATAGTGTGTGCAGGCTGGGGCCTCCGGGGCTGGCGATGAGGGGATAACCCGTGTCCTTGTCGTGCTGGTGTAATTAGGGTGTGACTAACAGCTTTATGGCTGCTCTTGACAATCTTCCAGCTGTTCAGCTTAACTCCTGCCTGCAAGGCAAGGCAGTCTCTGCTGCCTGCCAGACAGGCTCCCTGCCTGCCCACAGCATCCCTGAGAGGAAGTGGGCATGCAGAGGGAGACAGCTCTGCAGGGACTGAATTCCAGGATGAGGGGTTTGATGCCACAGCCCAGCCCTTGAGGCAAACAAAGTGACTGGGAAATGGTCATGTTTGTGACAAGGAGGTGGTTTTAGTTGTTGTCTGAAGGAGCTGACCTCATGTTTTCACCTGGAGAAAACATGCTTTTCCCGGTAGAGTGGGAGGAACAGCCTCAGCTTCAGGGCTGAGCACTGCTGGTTTGCCTCCTGGGGGGGGAGGAGGGGGACAGGAAAACAGGCTGCCTTTGAGAGGTGGAGACCGGCTCCTGTTTGGGTTTGTCACCCACCAGTGGAAGCTGGAGAGGAGCCCAGGCTGGAGCTGCCAGGCTGGCAGAGGAGCTGGGCTCTTCTGGGCAGCTTCTGTCAGCTTCAGGGGTCACAGCCACTCCAGAAGTGGGTCCAGAGCATCCCACGGCTCACGGGGATGGGACAAACATGGCCCAAAGAGGAACCTCTGCCCTAGACATTACCGGCATAAATGCCCCATAATGGTGTTTACCACACCCCGTGTGGGTGGGTGGGGTCTAAAAATAGGGGATGAGCTGGCTTAGATGGTTTGGCTGTTGTGCCTGGGACAAGGTGTGACTGCCCAGCAGCTTCCAAAGTTCAGGATGGGAGGGGGAGTTGTTAATTTTATTTGGCTGCCATAAATCTGAGCGGTGAGGGGTGTGGGCTTGCTGCTGGCGCTGGGCTCAGTGATGGGAAGGAGTTTCATGGCAGCTGCCCCCCTTGACAGGAGAGATCAAATCGAGTCCGTCTGAAAGCCCCTTGATGGAGAAGAACGTTGGCCCAAAGGAGGAGCAAGAGGAGGCCAAGGTGCCCCTGGGCGATGCCAAGGGCCCTGTTACCGATGTGGGGTCGGCCATGCCCACCCGGGCAGCGGTGGAGGAGAGGATGGTCTCCTTCAACCTGGGGGAGCTGGAGGAGGCCCCAGAGCAGGAAAGGCTTCCCAGCCTCGACCTGAAGGAGACAAGCATTGACAGTGGTGAGTAGTGGGGGGTGATATGAGTGGCGGGACTCCCCCCACCCTAGGCACCCCTGGGTGTTAACCCCCCCACCTGCTGTCCCCCCCTGGCAGGAGCTGTGCGGCTGCCCAATGGCAACCTGGTCCACCTGAGCCAGGCAGTGGGCCACCAGCTGGGCTCAGGTGGGCAGTACCAGTACCACACCGTGCACAAGGACTCTGGCCTCTACAAGGAGCTGCTGCACAAACTACACCTGGCCAAGATGGGGGACTGCATGGGGGACTCGGGGGACAAGCCCCTGCGGCGCAATAACAGCTACACCTCCTACACCATGGCCATCTGCGGCATGCCCCTGGACTCGCTGCGTGCCAGGGATGGCGAGGAGGGGGAGAGGCTGAGCTGGTCTGTGGTGGACACTAAGAAGAGAGTCCGCATGGACAGCTACACCAGCTACTGCAATGCAGTGGCAGACACCCACCCAGCTGTAGATGTGGACCTGAACACGGCCCAGGCAGAGCTGGGTGTCAGTGACCGCAAAGGCAGCAGCAGCTCTCTGGAAGAGTGGCACGACCAGGACAAGCCTGAGGTGTCCCTGCTCTTCCAGTTCCTGCAGATCCTCACGGCCTGCTTTGGCTCCTTTGCTCATGGTGGCAATGATGTCAGGTCAGTGGGGTCAGCGGGAGCTGAGGGGGCTGCTGGCTGGGGCTAGTGCCCACAGAATCATGGAATCGGAATGGTTTGGGTTGGAAGAGAACTTAAAGATGATCTTGTTTCAACCCCCCTGCCATGGGCAGGGACACCTTCCACTAGACCAGGTTGATCCAAGCCCTGTCCAGCCTGGCCTTGAACACTTCCAGGGATATTCCATCTTGCCAACAGCCTCTGGCCCTCTAGACCAGATCCTCTTTCTCTTCCAGCAATGCCATAGGGCCCCTGGTCGCACTCTACCTGGTCTATCAGACGGGCGATGTGGCTACCAAGGTGGCAACTCCCATCTGGCTGCTGCTCTATGGGGGTGCGGGGATTTGCATCGGCTTATGGGTCTGGGGAAGGAGAGTCATCCAGACAATGGGGAAGGACCTGACTCCCATCACACCATCCAGGTAAGGGGTGCCGTGAAGCAGAGGGGAGGCTCCAGGCAGCCTGAGAGCTGCATCCTGTTCCAGGAGCCCCTCTCCCTTCTGTTTTAGGGGTTTCAATGGTGAAGCAGGGGCATGTGTGGCTCCACCACCTCCCTGCATCCTGGAAGGGGGTTGGTCTGAGTGTCTGGAGAGCCAAGCCAGGGGCTGACACTGCTGTGCTGCCTTGAACTGAGCCCACTGGGTGTTTTGGGGTGTCTGGTTCTGTTCTCATCTGCTTTCTGTCCCTGCAGTGGCTTCAGCATCGAGCTGGCATCGGCGCTGACGGTGGTGATTGCCTCCAATGTTGGCCTCCCCATCAGCACGACTCACTGCAAGGTAGGGGGTTGGCAGGGGAGATGGTGCTGGCTCAGTGCGAGCTCAGCGTCCCCGAAACTTAGGGCTCGTAGGGTCAAGCTGTGGGGGGGGTCCCGCTCTGGGCCTCCAGCCACTGTCAGCTCCTGGCTATGCCGCTTGCATCTCAATGTGAGGCAGCAGCGGCTGCCTGGGCTGGGGGGGGCATCCCTGGCACACTTGGAAGGTGATGGGAAAACAAAACGCCTTTCATGGTCCCCTGGGCTCTGCCAAGAGGCCATGGGAACCCAAGTGCTGCAGGGCCCTGTCCCTAACACCCCTCTGGGGTGGCAGCTCCTTGCCCTGCACTCCCTGCCTGCACTCTGTGAGGTCCCTACAGGCTGGAGCAGGACCCAGGGCTGTGGGGTGCATGTCAGGTGAAGGTGTGCACGTCAGGTGGGTGCAGACCCTCACTGCGGTGCTGAGCCATGCTCTGGCTCCTTTGGCAGGTGGGCTCAGTGGTCTCAGTGGGCTGGCTGCGCTCCAGGAAGGCAGTGGACTGGCACCTCTTCCGCAACATCTTCATGGCCTGGTTTGTCACCGTCCCCATCTCCGGCCTCATTAGTGCTGCCATCATGGCCGTCTTCAGGTTTGCTGTCCCGAAGGTGTGAGGGCACCAGGGCTCCCACTGCTCCTGCTTCCCACTGCTGCCCTCCCTCCAGGAGCCACCGAAGCTGCCTGCTGTGGGGTGGGGCTCCCCCATGTCTGCCTAGTGCTGTCACTGAAGTATCTTTTTTAATATAAAATGTCTTGGCGCTAACATTGTGGGGGGTGCACCACTGTGGCTGTACATGCCCCCAGGTGACCCCTCTGCTCCGCTGTAGCTGTAGATTAGCAGTTACCGCGGGCCTCTTTTTCACTTCTAATGACTTTAATGAAGATCCTCCGGCAGTGATTCCTTGGGGGAAGGATGTAGGTTGGTCCTTGCCCTCCGTGTGAGGGGAAGGCTGGGGGGTGGTGGGGCACCCCCCTCACAGGCTGTGCTGTGTTCAGCTTTGCCTCCATTGCTCTAGTGGTGCAGACACCATTGTGCTCGGGGACGCCATCCTGCGCGGGGGTCCTGGGGGCTGCCCTCTGGCCCCATCACTGCTGCTACCTCGGACTCAATAAAGATTTCCTTCGTATGCCAGCAGTGCCTGTGGTTCTGGGGAGTGAGGGTGCTGGGGTGGCTGCTGCCTCATGGCCCTGCCTGCCTTGGCCTCGTGTCCCCAGAGTGAACTGGGAACGATGATAAGAGCCCCACGTGCCCTCTGTGTCATGGGATGGGCTGTAAACAGCCTCGCGGGGGGGTTATCGGGGCCCAACACCTGGGGCAGTTCCTGTCCCTGTCACCAGCCCCATGGTGTGCATGTGCCCCCTCCTCAGCCCGGGGCAACAACTGCTCCAGCGCCCTCCTCCATGTGCCCGGGGATGCTCCCTCCTGCCTGGGTCAAGGCCGGTCCCGGGGACCCGCGTCAGCAGCCCCGGCGTGTCGCAAGAAGTGGGGCGAAAGGGCGGGGGGTGCTGAGGGATGGGGATGGGTCCGTGGGGGACGCACGTGGGGTTCGGGAGGTGCCTTATGTGCTGCGTGGGGACGCGAGCCACGAAGCCCCGCGGACCGGGGGTCGTTTTGTCCCAGGGGACGTGGGTGTTCCCTCCTGTCCCGACCCCCCGGTGTGAGGCCGGGGCGCCCCTCGCGCCGGCCCCGCTCCCGCCCTCTGACGGGGCCGCGGCGTCCATCGGGGCGGCCTCGGGGCGGCAGCGGGGCCGGTCCCTGACCCCGGTTAATGATTCGCCACCGGTTGCTCCCCTCTGCCAGTGGCGTCTCTGAGCAAACACTGGCCCGGGGCTCCGAGAGCTGCGGGCCGGGGGGGCGGCGGGAGCAGCGCTGGGGGACACTGCTGGGGAGGGGGAGCCCCGTTTAAGGGGTGCGGGGGGCACTGCCCTGTGTGCGGGGGCGCGCGTGGGGAGGTGTCACTGCCCCAGGGAGGGGGCATGGCAGAGTCACCGCCCCATTTGGGGTCACCACTCCAGGGTGCCCCGGGTTCGCCCCGGCTGTGCTGCCCGGGGGGGGCCGGGCCAGGGGCCGGGGCGGGGCGGTCGCGCGGGGCCCCCTTAAAGCGGCGGCGGCCGCGGGCGGTGGCCGGAGGCGGTGGCGATGGGCAGCGAGGGGGAGCGAGGCCCGGCGGCGGCCCCGAGCCCGGGGCAGGGCGACCCACGGGCGCTGCGGAGGGACTGCCAGCACCGGTGGGCGGGAGGGGGCTGGGGGAGCGGGGGGCTGTGGGTGCAGCAGGACTTGAGGCTCCTTGGAGAGAGTTGGGAGGGGACAAGTGGGGAGGGCACACGGAGGGGGGGAGGCAAGACCCGAGGGAAGGGCACTGGGGTTCAGGTACGGGAGAGGAATCTTGGGGGGAGTCAGGAAGGGAGTGGAGCCCCTGGGGGTCACCCCACATAGACATATCAGGTGTGGGGGCAGGCCAAAACAGGGGCCCACAGTCCCCCCTCCCACGCATCCCCCTTCCTGCCCCCCGAGCTCCATTTCCATCTCAAAAGCCCATTTTTCTGCTCCAATAACTCGCTATGGGGCCCTTGAGGTGGGGCAGGCACACGACCCTCACAGAGCACTGACCAGGGACCAGGATGGGGGAACACATCCCCATCCCCTCCTTTGTGCCACCCCCAGCCCTAAACACCCCCTCTTCCCCATAACTCCTCCCCCCACCCGATTACCCCCAGGATCTTTGTCAACCGGAGCCTGGCGTTGGAGAAGATCAAGTGCTTTGGCTTTGACATGGACTACACCTTGGCCAGTGCGTTTTTGGGGAACCTAAGATAGGGTGGGGCAGTGGTGGGACCCCCCCCCCCAAGGCCCTGTCCACATCCCTTCTGACTCCCTACAGTGTACAAGTCCCCTGACTACGAGGAGCTGGCTTTTGCCCTGTTGCTGGAGCACCTTGTCGCCATTGGGTACCCCCCCGAGATCCTCGCCTACAAGTATGACCCCACGTTCCCCACTCGGTGAGTTTGGGGAGGGGGTCCGGGGGAAGAGGGGTGAGATCCCCACCCATTGACAGCTGTGTGTTGCAGGGGGCTGGTGTTCGATGCCCTGTATGGGAACCTGTTGAAGGTGGATTCCCATGGGAACCTGCTAGTCTGTGCCCATGGCTTCCGCTTCCTCAAGGGGTGAGTTTGGAAATCCCCCGCCTCAGGGGCAGGGGGGAGCAGGAGGACCCTTGGAGTGGGGTGCAGCTCCATGCTCCCTCCCCAGAGCCGAAATCCTCCACTATTACCCCAATAAGTTTATCCAGCGGGATGACATGAAGCGCTTCCACATCCTCAACACGCTCTTCAACCTCACGGGTGAGAGACAACCCGTCTCCCTCACACCCCCACCACCTTGGGGTGCTGTCCTGTCCTGCACCCCCTCTCACATATCCCTCCCACACAGAGGCCCACCTCTATGCCTGTCTTGTGGACTTCTTCACCAACTGCTCCAGATACGTAAAGTAAGAGGGAGGTGATGGGTGGGGGCTTGCTGGTGGATCAGATGGCAGGGGGTAATCTTGCAGAGGAGCTTCACTTGGCAGGGCAGCCCCTTCACCTCCTCCATTCCTGATTGTTGCAGCTGCGATACCGGCTACAAACACGGGAACCTCTTCATGTCCTTCCGCAGCATGTTCCAGGATGTGCGTGAGGCCATGGACCACGTCCACCTCTCTGTGGGTGCAGTGGGCAGGGGGCTGGTGGGAGGGGGGTTATGGGAGTGCTGGAGATTCCCCACAAACACCCTGGGAGGTTTTGGCCAGCCCCCTCCCTTCATCCACTCTGCAGGGCTGCCTGAAGGAGAAGACGCTGGAGAACCTGGAGAAATATGTGGTGAAAGACGTATGTGCAGACCCTCATGGACCCCTCACTACCCTGCTCCCCTTTGCCAGTTCCCCTTGGTCCCCCCAAGCCCACTCCATGCTGATTTGCCCCTCACCAGCCCCGTGTGCCACTGCTGCTGAGCCGCATGAAGGAGGTGGGGAAGGTCTTCCTGGCCACCAACAGTGACTATACATACACAGATGTGAGTAAGGGGTGTCCATGTGCTCCCCCTGCCAGGTCCAGCTTGCCCTCGATGGGGGTGGCAGAGGGGAGGGTGTCAAAGCGCAGTCAGTGTCTGCCTTCCCTGGGGATGGGTGACAGTGCCGGATGTCCTTGCAGGCCATCATGTCCTACCTGTTTGACTTCAGAGATGGGGACAAGGTGAGTCTGTCCCCAGTGTGGGCAGAGTGGGGGGCTCAGGGTGCCATCAGCAACCTCTTGCTGACCCCCCCCTCCCTGGCATCCACAGGCGGACACCCCGCAGCGCCCCTGGAGGTCTTATTTTGACCTGATTGTGGTGGACACCCGCAAGCCCCTCTTTTTCGCTGAGGGCACCGTCCTGCGCCAAGTCGACACGGTGGGGACCCCTCCCCCGTTGTGGGGCCAGTTGGGGCAGTGGGCACTATTTGAGTACTATGGGGGTTCCTGTGGGCAGAGCAGGGTAGATTCACCATTGGGTGGGCACCAAGCGGACGCAGATAACGGTGTTCCTATCCCGGAGTCCTCTTGTCCCGTAGGACACGGGGAAGCTGCGCATTGGGACGTACACCGGCCCCCTCCAGCACTGCACCGTCTACTCTGGCGGTAAGTGCCAGGCCAGGCTCCAGTCAGGGGGGGACATGCCCATGCCCCCGCCCTGACCCTTGGCTGTCACAGGCTCCTCAGATGTGGTGTGTGACCTCCTGGGCGTGAAAGGCAAAGACATCCTTTACATGGGGGACCACATCTTCGGGGACATCCTCAAGTCCAAGAAGCGGCAGGGTTGGCGCACCTTCCTGGTGGTGCCTGAGCTGGCCCGTGAGCTGCAGGTCTGGACAGAGAAGAGCGGTGAGCAATGCCTGGCTGGGGACACGGACCCTGCCCTGCTGGCGGACGTGGCCTGGAGCCTCCTATGCCTCTCGATGGCAGCGGGCTGTGCCCTGACCCTCTGGGTCAGTCATGCTGGGCAGTGGGGGATGTTCCCGCACTGAGCCAGCCACGTTGACCTTGCAGAGCTGTTTGAGGAGCTGCGGAGCCTCGATCTCTTCCTGGCTGAGCTGTACCAGTGAGTTGGGTGAGGGGAGTAGGGAGGGGTGGGAACACCTGTGGGGGACCTCCCAGGTGAGCCTCCAGCCGGATCTGTCCCGTTCCAGGCACTTGGACAGTGGCAGCAGCGAGCGCCCAGACATTAGCTCCATCAAGCGTCGGATCCAGGTGACACTCAGGACACCACCCCAGCTGGCGCACAACTCAGTCCCACCCCCCTCCAACAACTTCCCCCTTGGGCACCCTGGGGGGCATTGGGTGCCCTGACTGTCTTGCTGCACCCCCAGAAAGTCACACATGAGATGGACATGTGCTACGGGAAGATGGGCAGCCTCTTCCGCTGCGGCTCACGCCAGACGCTCTTCGCCAACCAGTTGATGCGCTACGCAGACCTCTATGCCGCCTCCTTCATCAACTTCCTCTACTACCCCTTCAGCTACCTCTTCCGGGCTCCCCCTGTCCTGGTACGCAGCCCCCAAACCCCCCTGCTCACCTACTATGCCTCAGTTTCCCTCTCTACCTGAGGGGGGCATGGGGCTGATGGAAGCATTGGGTGGGCACCCAACCCAGCCTGTGCTAGACTCTCTCTGGGAGCCTTGTCCCCCCCGCAGATGGCACATGAGTCAACAGTGGAGCACACTCGGCTGGACTCGGGGGAGGTTGGCACAGCCCTGCCCCCCTGGCTGGCCCGGCATAGCCACCCTGGCCAGCAGGTGGGTGGCAGGGAACAGAGAGGCAGAAGGACATGGGTGTCCTGCCACGCTGATGCCCGTGGGGTCCTGTGCCCACTGAGCCCTCTCACTGTCTCAGGTCCCCCAAGACTCCAGCGGGGAGGAGGAGGATGATGGAGAAGCCTGAGCCCACCCCAGCACCAATGGCTGCTGCTCTGGCAGGTGCCAGCCCCACAGGAGGGCATTTGGTGGCCCTGGACCACTTGCACTGCCAGACCAAAGCCACCCATGGTCAGCTGCCACCTTTGATGGCCATAGGATGATTGGTGGCCCTGCCCATGGCCCCCATCACACCTGTCCTTAGGCTGTGGGGCCCTTCTCTCGACTGTGCCTGGAGCCAGGAGAGGGCCCCCCCAATTCTGCTGGCTGCCCTGTGCCCCCACTTTAACTAACATCCTTCCTGCCAGCTCAATGGCAGCCTGGGGCCACCCAATGCCAGGGTGAGCGGGCAGTGTTGCTGCTCCGGTATCACTGGAGGTCCGCTGCACCAGTCAGGGCCCCTGCAGCTCGTGTCCCTCCAGCCTCTCCACTGTGGCCCTGGGTACAGGGGGAGGCTCCGGAGGTGACAGCTGCTCTGTGGGAACTCCCTTCACCTGCTGTTCCCCTCTTCTGTTTGCTACTCTTTTCTATTTATAAAAGATACTCCAACTCCTGGCACCACAGAGACATAAAATTGGCTGTTTTAAAGAAAACTGCTTTGTCCCTGCACCTGGGAGGTGGGGGCAAAGGGCAATTCCCAGCAGCTGGGACAAGCACGAGCCCCTGGGCAGAAGGTGGCAGCCCCGGGTCACCTCTCCTCTGCAGAGGAGGGAGCTAGGCAAGCAGTGCTCCCCAGAGTGGAGCCAAACCCCATGCCAGAACTCCAGGACACTGCTCCAAGACTTCTTCTGGCATCCAGGACTCAGTAGAGACGCTGAGCCAAGACCGGGGGTGGGTGTGTCGGGAGGGAAAGAGGAGGCAAAAGCGTGGGATGGGGTCAGGACCACTGCTTACCGGGGTTGGGCAGGTGACAGTGGGGCTCCCCCCATCCTCTACAGCAGCTGTACGGTCACTGCTTGCAGCAGGGACCCCTTGCCCACCCCAGAGCCAACCCCTTGCCTGGTACCTTGTGCTACTGCCTGCTCCAGCTGCAAGGACAGCACCAGAGGGGCCCCGAGTGCATGTACAGGGCTCATCTGCACTCACTGGCCCATCCTGAACCCCAACCATGCCCAGGAGTTTGGGGGCCTGGCCTGCTGCACCCCAAGGTCCTCTGCACCACTTTGGGTGCTGCTGTCAGCCTGCACAGAAGCTGCTGGAGTGTTGCAGGTCTTCCAGCCCCTCAGGCAGAGCTAGTACTTCTGCCCATGGTCTGGACCTTGGTCTGCACGTGCCTCTCAGCAGGGACATCCAGATGCTGTCCAGGTATGGCACAAGGCAGCTCCAGAGCAAATCCTTTGGGACGTCACTTCCAAAACACTGAGAGGTGCTTGGAATGTTGCAGTCTGGCTGATACCATCCTACAGCAGGAAAATTAGGCAGAGGAGCTGAGGACAGTCCTGGGGGACGCAGTCTTCTACACTGCTCACTAGGCCACACACATCTCTACTGCAAGTCTTTAATATATTTAAAACAGCACTTAGATATTTCAAACAAGCTTATTCTGTGCCACCCCCCCACGCTTACACCCGAGGGGCAGCAAGAGAAGCCAGTGGAGTGTGTGCAAGGCAGCACAGGGGGCAGGTGGACTGGCTCCACCAGGAACCCCTTAGCAGCTCTCAGGGGTGTATGAACTCAAACCCTCCAGCCCCGTCACCTCTGGCAAAGCCTTGTTTTTCTGGAAGATGAACTGAGTCTCCTCTTCAGCATCCAGGATTTCACTGAGGGATGACACCACAGGGTCATGGTCCTTCAGCATCTCTGGGTAGTGGCTCCCAGCCCGCTCAACCCGCAGCGAGCGCCGCACGGGCGTCAGGAATTTCAATTCCGGGCCTTTCGGGAACTCCCTTCGTCTGTGGAGAGGACAAGAGCCTTGGGTAAACCCTGTGGAGGAGCACTGGCATGGAGGGTGCATGTTGCCAGGACCAGGGGGTTCAGCCTTACCTGGATGCAGATGTGACCCGTAACTTGACTGAGAGAGGTAGGGAGGTCAGGGGCCTCCCCACTGGGCCTGGAGTCGATGCTACGGGCTCCCTCTCACCTGGACAAGGTGTTGTAGGCTCCCAAGGAATGGGTTGCTCAGCCTTTTCCCCTGGCAAGAGAGGAAAAGGGCAATGCAGTTGCAGAGAGTGCCAGCTGGGGAGGAATAACACTGTGGTGTTTCAGACACAGGCCTGGCTGTGGAGGTGTGCTGGGGCCAGGACCCTCCCCAGCCCTGGCAGAGGAACATTGCCCCATTATTAGGATCAGGATTCCAGACTTTCAAAACACTCAATCTCCATCAAAGTCAAGAGGGACATGGGGTGCTGGGACAGACTGCAGAACGTGCTGTTTCCCAGATGGCAGCAGCAGGGAGTCTTGGCTTGCCCACACTCCAGACGGCTCCCCATGTTCAGGTTACCTTCTGATGTATGGCCTGCAGCCTTCAAAATATCAAGAACATCCCTGAGCTCCTGGAGTGGCTGCAGGAAAAGCAGAACATGGGTCAGGGCAGGTCTGGTATGGCAATAGAGACCAGAGTTATAGCTGAATAGGGGGAAAGGCTTTTGCTGCATCACAACAGCAGTGTGATATGTCAGCACCCAGCACAGCTGGGCAAGTGCCCACCCTGCCCATGGAACAGGACCAGCATCTCTAAAGGGCTTTTTCACCACTTATTAGTGCTGCTAAGCTCATCCCAAAATCCAGCCCCCGGGACCTCAAGGAAGCCCACCCATTCTGAGGCAGGGACCATAGGGAGCTGGTGAGCCCCACGCACCTGAGCGCCTGCGCAGACTGCTGCTCTGTACAGCCCCATCACATCAAAGGGGCCACTCCGGGCCAGCAGCTTTGCTTGGCAGATCCAGAATTTGGCAAATTTCTCTGCCTGGGGCACAACAGACAGCACTTTTGATAGCTCCTCTGCATGGACACCCTGCAAGGAGAAGGGCAAGGACCTGGTAAAAGGTGTCCACTGCGAGGACAAGGGTATGCACTGGGAGCTGTCAGTACCTGACCATGCTTCCAGCACTCTTCAGGAGAAAGAAGGTCTCAGGAGTCTGGGTTTACAAGTCTCCTACGTAACAATGGGCTGTCCTCCCTCTACCTTCCCCTTGGATAAATGAGTCTAGTACTCCAAAGAGCTGTCAAGGGATAGACTCCAGTGCTGGCATTATTGGAGCCACTAAATCCTGGAGCAGAGCTAGCAGTCAGTGTTCCCAGCAACAGTCCCCCACCAGAACCATACCTCAGACTGTGACACCAACAGGGATCTACTTCAAGTTGGTTCAATCAGCCTGGGTTTCTGTCGCAGACATTGCTTTTGCAGACTGCACTGCCAGTTTCCAGAACACCGTCAGTTACACATGTGAGTCCCACACTGCTTTTGGCTGGGGTAGAGTTAATTTCCTTCCCAGCGGTTGGTATGAGGCTGTGTTAGGGATTTGTGCTGAACACAGTGATGATAAAGATGTTTTTGTTATTGCTGAGCAAGACTTACACAGAACCAAGGCCTTTTCTGTTTCTCATACTGCCTCGCTGAGGAGCTCGGGGTGCGTGGGAGATTGGGAAGAGACACAGCTGGGATAGGTGACCCAAACTAACCAAAGGGATATTCCAGACGGTATGCTCAGTATGTAAAGTGGAGGGACATTTGGAGTGATGTTGTCTGTCTTCCCAAGTCCCTATTATGTGTGACGGGGCCTTGCTCTCCTGGAGGTGGCTGAATCTGCCCATGGGAAGAAGGGAATAAATTCCTTGTTTCACTTTGCTTGCGTGCACGGCTTTCACTTTCCCTGTTAAACTGTCTTTATCTCAATCCACAAGTTCTGTAACTTTTACCCTTCCAATTCTCTTTCTGATCCCACTGGTGGGGGAATGAGTGAGTGGCTGCGAGGGGCTTGGCTGCTGGCTGGGGTTAAACCACAACAGTCCCTTTTGATGGGGTACCTACCCATAACTTCATGAGGACTTTTATCTTCCCTACCCATGTTTCCCTTCTAGCAACTGAATGCTTGCTCCCAACCCCTCTGTGCTGTGAAGGTACATGGTCTGGAGCCCCTGGGATGCTCCAGGGGAGGAGGAGCCTGTTCAAGCAGCCTCTTTCCCATTCCCACCTCCTCAACAAAGTTCAGGCACTCAGTTAATATGTTGTCGATCTTCACCAGGCAGCGCTGCTCTGGATTCTCTTGCTTCTCTTTTGCCTTGACCTTTCTGCAGGGCGGCTTCACTGCCTGCTTCTGAAGCAGCGTCATCGGCGGCCTCTTGTATTTCTTGCCTTTCGATGCCAACCACTCCTCCAGCTGTTTCCTGTCCAAGGACCAAAGTATCACCTTGGTTACCACCCCAGCAGGCAGCCAACTCTTGCCAAGATACTGTTTTTTCTATAGAATCCCCTGTTAGCTGACTTCAGCTGCTCAGGAAGAACTGGTACATTTATCCCAAAAACACATCTGAGCTCTAGGCTGGGAAAGGAAAACCCTGACAAGTGTAAGCCTTGAGGCTAAAACAGAATGGCCACACACTCTCCTCCCACTCACTGAATTGGTGGGAGAGGAACTCAGGGCCCCACCCAACATCTTTCCCAACTCTCTCTTTTCCAGGGCAGCAACCTCCCAACAAGCCTTCACTGATAGAGACTTCAGACCCCATTTTCAGCAGGATGGTGCTGGCTCACCCAGTCAAACCCTTATACTCTGCTGTTCCCTGGAAGACCCAGGTGACCAACGCTGCCACTTACTTACGATCCGCAGCTGATGGGATCCTGGGAACACGCCCATACTGCACGATTGCCTTCGGCAGCTCCGGTTTAAGCTGATCTTTCCTACTCCTCAAATTACCCTCAAGTGCATGAGTTTTGGAGCAGTGTGTGCTGGGAGGCTGGTTTGCGTGGTCTATCCCTTGGGATGTTGCTGTGTGTCTGGGACGCACCACGTTCATGTCCTTCCTGTCCGTCCCCCCTTTAATCATGGGCCTTGGCCGTGGCATGGTGCCACCTCGGTTCAGGCTGGATTTCAGGTTTGTTGTCCCCTGAGGCCTGTCTGAGGCCAGAGGCTTAGTGGAAGAACTTCTCATTGGGGGAGGTTGAAATTGGTGCTTAAAAACTCCCACTGGAGCTGTGCCAGGTGGCTTTCCCACAGGTTGCCTCACTGTAGTAGTTTTTTCCTGGTTTGTCCCTGTTTTTTTATGTAGCAAATTAGCAGAAGCAGGAAGGTACCTAGGGGGCTGCAATGGCTGAGTTCTGACGCTTGTTTTTTGAGACACGCTCTTTGAGCCTGGTAGGATTTTCCTGAATTTATCTGGAACTGGGTCTTTCTTAGCCTGGCGGTTATTAATTTTGTCCTCTGGGCCCACAACGGGCCTTGACATTACAGCTGAGCTTTGCTCGTAAGCCAAGACTCTCTTCTTCCCAAGACTGCTTCCATCAAATTGGAAATCTCTGTTTAGCTCTGGGAGTGTGGAGGCTCGTGGGCTGAGGTTTTCCTTGTGACAGACCAGCCCATCCTGCAGCTCCTCATTCAGGGACCAAGGCGCTCCAGGAGGGGAGTGGTCACTTCCCACACAAAGTGCTGCAGCAGTAACAGTGTCCTGTGCAGACTTCTTCTTCCTTTCCGGATTTAGGTGACCAGAGCCTGGAGGTGGGAGCCTGCCTCTGGTCTGTGCAGAAGCAGGAAGCTTTGTGCTCTTCCCTGGCTGCACTGGATGCACCCCCACTGCTCTCTGGGATGTGTTTGAAGGCTTCTGCTGACTAGCGTGGCCAGTGTGATGTGTGGATTTGGCACTAAGCTTGCCATCCTCCTGAGCACTCTTCATCACATTTCTGAGAACATCCTTCTTGTTCCTGTCAACCTGGAGAGACAAAGCAGCCCTCAGCTCCAAGGAGAGCTCAGCTTGGTCAGACCCTGAGAGCTGGCCCAGGGGGACAGCCATGCAAAGGCCTGTGGTGACAAAGCAGTTGTCAACAGAACAGTAACACAGCACCCACCAGGACACGGGCAAAGGATCGGTCTTCTAAATTGAAACTCCTAACTAAACTAAGCTCCTCTGAAAAAATAAGTAGTTGACTCGTTGCCAGCTATTTAGCAATCTGTTGAGTGTCCTCATCTGGAGTCAGGAACTCATGACCCTGACTTGAGGATGCGGTTTGCAAAGAAAGTTACTGACCCAAATTGCAGCAAGGATGAAAAATTATTATGACTAAAGCCCACTCTCTTGTGACCCTATAAATAGAGGTCCTGAGTGAGACCCTTTGAGCCCTCCTGGACTGCAGTGGGCTATGACCACTATCTCCCTCTGAATGGGGCCTCTCAGAGCCAGCAAACTCTCACATTTACTATACTTGGAGGATCAGCGAACAAGGATGATGGAGCCTCTCCTCGAGGCTCAACCCCCCAACCACTGAGAAGATGCAAAGGCGGTGACGTGAGTCCTTCACTGAATTTGAGGGGAATTTTTCACAGGTACCTTGTATAGACTCTTTAGGCCTGTGTGCATGTGACTGTGAATATGCTACAGCAAATGTACCATGAAGGTGGGTCTCCCTGGTTCTTAAGTACTTTAGATTTGTAAGTCAATCAGGCCGGTGACTTACTGTTGTGCTACAGTAAATTCTATATGAATCCTTTGCTAAATTGTTTAACTTAACCTATTGATTAAGTGCTGTTAGAACATGTAGGCCTTAACTGTAGGTCAGGTCCTGGCCTCAGATTAGCAAGGGGGTCTGCTCTGAAACTTGTGACTCAACAGATGGGTCTTCCTTATTCCTTTTTATCCTTACCCTTTCCCATCCTTACCCTTCCCTCCTCCGGCCCAACCCCCAAGCTCAACATAGATAATTTTTAGGTTGGTTTTGGTTTAGATTGATTGATTTTAGGTTTAACCATCCAGTAAGTAGTAGACGAACCTTGCCAATGAACTTTTTTGTGCTTTCACTTTTATATTAAACTTGCTTTTGCCAATACCTTTGATGGTGTTTCTTTAAGCAACCCTAAAACACTCATTTGCAACAGACGACCCTGTTCTGCCCAGACTCACTTCAAGCATGAAAGACTCAAAAGCTTTCTACTTACATGCTTGAGTTTAGAAACTGGTTCTAAGTGTGGATTCAGGTCATTTGTCCGGTCCTTTAAAAAGGGTCTGTAAGAGTAAAAAAAGTTATCAGGTTATTTAACAAGTTACTGGGTTATTTAACAACTGATCGGGTTATTTATCAGCCATTGCAGAAAGGCTCAAATATCTAACCCACTGCTGGTTGTTTCAGACACAGGAGCTTAGGAGAAGCTTTCAGAAATCAAAAACCTGTCAAGGAAGTACCACATTCTGTAATTCTTTTTCTTTTGTGAAGCAATAGGAAAGCAAAACAGACCATTAACATCCAAGGTTGTCACAGAACTTCCACAGACAACAAAAGTAACCAAAACGGTTCATGCAGGCTAGAGTCTGGCAGGCAAGGGGTTTGGAGGCTCCTGACTTGTCCTGTGTGCCACAGACAGCTGAGGTCATGCTGCTGCCACGCTGCAGGTCACAGTGGTGCCTTGGAGCGTCCCAGCCAGGGCTCACTGCAGCATGGCCAACCCACGAGCCCCACAGCTGCCCGGATACTGGCAGCAAAGCAGGAAGGTGGGACAGCAGCCTACTGTCAGCTACCACAGTCCCATCCTCCTCCTGGAATTGCAGCCCTCTGACAGCAGCCAGCTATGAAGTTCTCCCACTCCTCAGCTCCGGGGCAAGCAGCTCAGCCCTCAGGGAAGGTTAATGCCTGTGCAGGTATTTTTCTGTAAGAAAAGAGCCTGGATAGTGAGGTGATCATCCCAGTTCTACACAAGTGCTATACTATGTCATAAAGAAAGGTCCTGAATCTTCTCTCCTCATTTCTATTACATCAGTGGTGTTTCCCAGAGCCTGGCACCAGGGATCTGTTTGCTCTTTCTGCTCTCTGATCCTGCTTCTCCCCATATTTTCCTGTCATGCGCACTGAAAATGCCCCTTCCTGATATTAACCTATCCCAAAGGCCGCTAGAAGCTGCCATTAAAAACCAGTGTCAGATTCCAACCACCCCTTCCTTGAGACCCAATTCTGAAGCTGAGTTGTTGGCAGCAAGGTCTGTTCCGCCAGAGCCAGGAGCTGAGATGAGAAGGTTCCACAGAGACTCATAAAATACCCAGAAGAGATTCCATCAACCATTGGGAAATGCCAGCACTCAAGCTGTTCTTTTGATCCCGCTGCCAGTAACTACAGAGCAGTGCTGGGGTGCTGTGGGGGCAGAACCCAGACAGTGGGGCCCTGGCAGGAGCTGGTTCTCTGTATGCAGGTGAGAGAAAGCAGACACTGGCCAGTGGGGAAAAGTCACTTATAACTCAGAAAATCACTGAGCGATTTGGGCCAGAAGGGACTTTTACAGATCATCTAGTCCAAGTCCATCATCCTCTTGACTTACTTTGCACTCAGGCATTTCAGCCTTTCCTTGGCTGCTCGGCAGTTTGGCAACTGGCTCCTCCGCTGCTCTGCAGAGAGATGACAGGAGATGTGCATGCAGCAACTACCTCAGTCCGTGGAGAAGGAGTACCCACGACAAACGATTTCTGTTACCCTCACACGCTACCTTGCCCTCCTCTGCCTGGGGAGCCTGGCAAGGCTGTGCCCCGAAATTCCAATGCGCAGGATATTGCCCAGAGGCTCATTGGCACTTAAGCTCCCTGACCCTCACAGCGTGGTGCTGCTCAACACCTCAGCTGTGCCAGGCTCAGTCAGTTTGCAGAGGGAAAGGGGAGATGCTGCCCATGACCCCCTTGCAGCTGTGTATCCTGCGGGCCTACACCCAGTGGTGGCTAAGACCTCTTCTAAGACAGGCAACAGGGAAAAATGAAGAGTATCGCAGCAGGGGGACAGAGGATACCTCTGACATCCCCAGTATGGCTGCGGCATTGGGGCAAGAGTCCAGCATCGCCCTGTCCCCAGGGCCCCCCACATTCCTAACACTGTCCCACCCTCACCCTCTATGTGTCCTGGGCTCCGAGGGCATCTCCAGCACCCCCAGCCCTTTGCCCTGAAAGGCTTCCACAAAGCCCCAAAAGCATCGCGGCCCCCCGACAAACCCCCAGCCCTCCCATACTGCCCTCCTCCCAGACCGCGTCCCTGGGCCCGTTTCGTGGGGTACCCCCCACGGGTTGCCGCACCCTCACCCCCTCTAACCACCCCAACCTCCTTCCCAAGGCCCCAGCAGCCCCTCAGGCCGCCCCTGTCCCTCTACCAAGAGGCCCCCACTGGCCTGTCTCTGGCCGCCCCCAGCCCAGCACCTCCCGCACTTCCATCCCACGGCACTCGCGGCCACCCCGCAGGGTCCCCGCGGAGTGTCCCCGTCCCAGAGGGTCCCCAGGTTGCAAGGAGCCCAAAGCTCCGCTCCCCGTCACCCCCACAGGGCCCCGCACAGGGAGCGCCCGCAGCCCCCAACCTCGGCACCCCTCGAACCCGGCCCCGGGACCCCCCGGCCCCTCACCGGCCGCCCCCGCGCGCTCCATCCCGGGCGCTGCGACCACCGACACTTCCACCAACCGCCGCGCCGCGTCCATTGGCCACCGCTTTCTTCAAACCGACCAATAGAGAGAGGGAGCCGGCGGCTGGCGGCGGGGCCGGCAGACAGAAGAGCTGTGATTGGCTGGAGGCGGGCAGGGGGCGAGGACAACGGCCCTCTTTGGCGGCCGAGCCCCCGCGGGCGGGGCCCTGCGATGACACAGGGGGACGCACTGCGACATGTCGTGACACACTGTGCCAGGCCACAACATGCCACGCCACGGTATGTGAAGCCGTGGCCACGTCTGGCCACGCTACGCTATGCAACGCCATGCAATGTCGTGCCATGCCATGCCATGCCATGCCGTGCTGTGTGATGGCATCACATGATATGCCATGGTGTGGTGTGAAATTGCGTGACACGGCACACCATACCATACTATGTGATGGCATACCATGCCATGTAATGCCACGCCATGCCATGCCTCTTGCTGTCCTGCTGCACTGTGGCCCACTGCGCCATGCCTTAGCAGTGAGCCAGGGTAGTGGCAGCAGCTGGAGCAGAAGTGACAGCCCTGGGTGGCTGCCAGGATTTGCGTGTGACTTCCACCTGTGGGATGCCCACCCCACTTACTCCCCAGCTGTGTGGTGGGCATGGGGACAAGGAGGTGGAGGATCCTGCATGGGTCTGGCCAAATCAGGGTGGTCCCTGGGCTGTGGGGTTGCCCCCTACCCCCTGGGCTTTCACTCAGGCTTGGAGAGTGCCCAGAAGCAGCCAAAGCAGTAGGATTTTCCCATCTGTAACCCCCGTGAGAGCAATGAGCTGAGCAATTCAGCCCTGGAAAACCTTTTATTTCCACTTCCATCTCTACAAACACCAGCGTTCCAGATAACAATAAAACACATACAAGTTAAAAGCAGCAATAAATAAAGGAGCACAAAAAATAAATATAAAAGCACTGGCCAGACACAATAAGTAAATAAATAAGGATTGGGGTGTCTTGAGCCCATGGGGCCCAGAGCTACTATTTCATCTGAAGTAGATGGTGAGAGGGGTCCCATCCCAGGGGGTTGTACTCAGTACATACAGCCTGAAAACCGGTGACTGCCGGTTGGGTTGGTGCAGGGTCTTCAGCGCCCGCTCAGCTCGTAGGTAGCAATGTTCACTTGGTCAGGAGCGTTGGTGATACCCACAGGCTGGCGGGGCTGCAGGGATGTGCAGACGAACCAGCCAGGGAAGGCAGCGGACTCGAAGCGGGTAGTCCCCTCGGCCGGGCTGTCCAGACGGTAGAAGATGAAGCGGGTCAGCTCCACGGTCTCAATATCCCTCCTGACATCAGCTTCCTACAGCCAGTGGGGTGAAACAGGGGTCAGAGTGGAATGGAGCCCCCAGCCCCATGAAGGATGGACTGGCAGGACCCCACGCTCACCTCCAGCTGCAGCACGGGCTTGGCGCCACTCATCACACACGACATATAGAGCTGGTAGCCCTTGATACCCAAGGCCACAGGCACCCGCCCAGCCCCTGGGCTGCCCTGCAATGACCGGGGACGGTACAGAGCGATGTTGAGCTTCACTGCAGAGAGAAGGGACGGGTTAATGGGTGGTTCCAGTGCTGTCGAGTGGCTCCCACGTGGTCCTGGGGTGGGGGACAGGGACATTGGGATGGGATTGTGTCCCCTCACCTTTCCGTCCGGCAGAGGGTCCCTGCAGGTGCAGGGCCACCAGCTGGGTTGGCGACTCCAGCACAAAACACTTGTGGTCAATGTCCAGGATGTCAAAGGACTGGGAGCGGGTGTAGCGGAAGACGGGTGCCCCAGCATAACTGCCCGTTATGTGCTGGAAGGAGATGGGCTCTGTGGGGAGGGAGACAGTCAGGGGGATGCTGATGCTTCCAGGTTCGAGAGCATTCCCCAAGAGCATCCCCCGGCTGGGGCGACACCCCTGACATTACCCCCATACCGAAAAGATCATCCAAGAAGCTGCCAAGGTCACTGTCAGCAAAGTCCTTGTGCGCTGGCTGCTTTAGGAACTTGGTCACAGCAACCACCAGGACAGCAGCCCGGCGAAAGGTCCTGGCAGGGTGTCCCTTGGTCACTGTCACTTGGATGCCCACCCTGGGTGATGTCACCTCCAAGTCCAGTCGGGGTTTCTGGGGAGAAAAGGGAAGGGTGAGTGCCAGGCTTCCCCACCACACGGATCTCACTACTCCCACTGCCCCAGTGTTACCTTCTGCGGGCAGAGGCAGTCGGGGCCATAAAACATCTCCTCATTTAGGCTGAAAGGCAAGGGGAGATGGTGAAGTCAGGGCCACCAGTGCAGGATCATGTCCCCAAAGTCCTCTCTGGCACGGCCATGCTTACCTGCTATTCTCCAGTGTGTCCAAATCAGGGACGAATGCCATCGCCGCCACTGACTGCAGAGTCCTGGGCAGAGACTTGACAGTACCTGGGAAGTGTTATGGCACTTGGCTTCGGGCTCCTGCCTGCCCCACTCTCTGAGCCTGGCTCTAGCGTGGCCGGTTTTCAAGAGCCTCTGGAAGGAAGCGCCGTCAGAACGGGATTTCCAGCTGTCGCAATGCCCGGTTTTGCCCAGTTCCTCCTTCTAGACTGGTAGAGCTGTGGGGGTTGGCTGCCCCCAGCAGTGCACTGGGGAGGCTGAGTGTGGGGCAGAGCAGGGGATGCTCCAGGATTGGAGTGTGGGGCAGAGTGAGGGGATACTTTGGAACTGGGGTGTGGGGCAGAGCATGAGGATGCTCCAAGGCCAGTGTGTGGGGCAGAAGGCAGAGAGGATGTTTGGGATCGATGTGTGGGACCAGTGACCGTGTGCCAGCCCCAGCCCCAGTCCCAGCCCCGCCCAGCAGGGCTGTGATGACACCCACCCTTGTCAAGGTCGCGACCTGCAGCCGCCCCAGAAAGGGCTGTGGCGCAAATGCTGCTACTCCACCATTTCCCCACGGCTTCCTCCTTCGCTGCGCAGACCCAAGCACTGCAGCCAGCTGTGCTCCCTCTGTCCCCTCTCCTGTCTGTCCCCACTACCCTAATACCAGACGGCACAGGGCCCTGCTGTCCCCTGGTCCCTTGTGTCCACCCATGCCACCTTTGGGACATGGCCATCAGGGACGTGGTCTTTGGGGACACTCCTCATCCCCACGTCCATCCGGCATGCCGGAGGTTGCGCCACACTGGCAGGGCCGGGGATGTGCGTGGCCAGGCTTGCATGACTGTGGGCTGCCAGGGTGTTTTCCTGGCACCTGTTTCACTTCCCCGAAGTGCCACCCTGCCCCTGCCCCTGGGCTCAGGACCAGTGACACCATGACTCACCGGCAGGAAACTGCCAGAACCCCAGAGCTCCCCCGGCACTTCCTTTGACCCTCTGAGCCCCCACGGGCTGTCACCCACGCTGGGATATCCCCAAAGGCCTGAGGTCTCCCAGGGCAAGGGGAACTCCACGCCACGGTGGAGGTCCTCAGGCCATGACAGGGGCACCCAGGCCATGGTTGGGATCCTCAAGGCGCGGTGACGGTTGCGGGTCACGGTAGGTGTCCCAGGCTATACTGGGGGGCCCTCGGCCATGGGGACTGTCCACGGGCGACGCCGGTACCCCACCCCTGTCCCAGGGGTCACCTCGCGCGCCGGGCGGCGCAGGCGCATTGGGACGAGGCGGAGGGGCGTGGCCAGGGCGAGGGGTGGGGCGACGCTGTGACGCACGGGCGGGGCGGGGTGGGACCGGTGGTCGGGGCCGCTGTCACAGCTGGGGCTGCGAGCGGGGCGGACGAACGCGCCGGTGGGTCCTGCGTCGGGGCCAGGCGGCGGGACTGGGCGGTGGGGGCCGGGCGGTGGGGGCCAGGGCTGGAGGGGGGCGGGGGGCGCGCGGGGCGGACGGGCCGCGCCCCTGTGTCCTTGGCGGTGCCGCCCGGGCGCCTGTTGGGGGGGCACTGCCCCGAGACGGACAGCCTGGCGGCCAATGGGAAGGCGGCTCGGCGGCTCGCGCCGCTCCTATAGGCGGCGAGGAGCGGGCGATCATTGGCGGGCGTGGGGTGGAGGCGGGCCCAGGCGATGGCGGCGGGCGGTGATTGGCGGGCGCGGGGAGGGGGCGGGGTTACCGCCCTCGCGGGGCGGGGCGGGGGTCGCGCGGCCCCTTCCCGCGCCCGCCGCACGCGGGGCCCCTGCGGGGCCGCCTCGTCTCGCCCGCCCGGCCCCCACCGTTCCGCCCGTCCGAGCCCGCGGGGCCTCCTGGGGCCGCCTGGGGACTCTGGTGGGCTGGGGTCGGCCGTGCAACCTCCGCATAGGATACGCGCCGGCCCCCGCCCGCCCCAGGGCCCTTGGCTACCGCGGTCCCGAAGGTGCCCACTGCTGGAGCAGCTGTGGCTGCAGCCTTTAGCCCTGGACCTCTGGCCTCCTGGAAAGCGGAATTTGTGCTGTTTTTAACCCAAAAAGTATTCCCTAGTCCCAAGCCTTTCCCAGCTATCCCTCGTCTGTGGTGGCGTCCCCATCCCTGCTGCCGGGGGTCAGATTTAGCACCTTAATCTACTTATTGGCACGCTCTGGGCCGTCATCTGTTATGGGTATTCCTGGGATTTGACCTTTTGGTGAGGTTTGGGCTGAGATTGGCTGCCCTCCTGCACCTTCCTCAGCCGTCACTGCGTGGGTGACCTTTGTATTCCTGGGTGACCCTGATATCCCATATCTCAGATTTTTATTTTTTTGCCCCTTCCTTCTGGTTGTCGTGCTCTATTTTGATCCACCTCAGAATCATCTCTGCTCTGAGCTTGCCCTGTCTCCCGCTGGGCTCCCAGCCAGCATTTCCTGCAAGAGGCCCTCAAGTACCAGCTGGTTCCGCTCATTTTGGGTCAAATGCCCTGGCATTAACTTCCCTGTTTTCCAGAGAGGTCACAGAATGCTGCTGTGGCAGCACCGAAACTGGACGCTAAACTGGAGTCTCTGCTGCTGCTTCCAAGCTTTTTCTGTGCTGTGTGCGTGCCAGTCCTCTGGCACCTGGTTCAGTTGGCTCTCTGAAATATCACGGAATCATGGAATGCTTTGAGTGGGAAGGGACCTTACAGACCATCCAGTTCCACCCCTCTGCCATGGGCAGGGACACCTTCCACTAGAACAGGTTGCTCTAAGCCCTGTCGAACCTGGCCTTGGACACACACTTCCAGGGATGGGGCAGCCACAGCTTCTCTGCGCAACCTGTGCCAGTGCCTCACCACCCTCACAGGAAAGAATTCCTTCCCAGTATCCCACCTAACCCTGCCCTCTGGCAGCGGGAAGCCATTCCCCCTTATCCTGTCACTCCAGGCTCTTGTCCAAAGTCCCTCTGCGGCTCTCTTGGAGCCCCTTTAGGCACTAGAAGGGGCTGAGGTCTCCCTAGAGTCTTCTCTTCTCTTCTCTTCTCTTCTCCTGGTTGGACACCATCAACTTTCTGAGTCTTTCAAATACCCATGTGTGTTTTGCTGTATAAATCTGAGGGAGGGTGATCTGAAAGAACTCCCAGTGGTGCTGCACTTGCTGTCCCGCACCTACCAGCCTTTCCTGGCAGGGTGGAAAGGATGAGTGGTTCCCTTTTTCCCTTGCGTAAATCTGTCAAATGCTGGCTGAATTCGAGTGATACTGTGTCTTTCTTACGCTCTTTGAACTTGTCTTCCTCTTGCTCTTTGAATAAAAACCTTGTGGTTTGTGATGGGAAGTGTAGCCACTGCCATGCCAAGCAGCCAGGACTAGATTCAGCCAAGCAAACCTGGAAGGCTGGCTGACAAAATGCTGGCCGTGAAGGTGTGTTGTTTTCTTCAGTCCCTTGTGAAACTTCATTTTAATCTGGTGAATGCATGATAACTGCTTTGACATTGGGCTGCTGCTTGTTAAACTGGTCAGGAATATGGAAACCAGCCAGCTGGGTCACCTCCAGCCCCGGGTCCTGCCTCTTGAGGGAGGAGCTGAGTGGAAAGGGCAGCTCCAAGAAGAGCTGCTCCAAATGCCAGCACTTCTCTCAAGATGATACTGCTCCAACGCTTTCTTTTGGGCTGCAGTGGTCGGTCAGATGTGTGTAACCCCGTGGCTGACCCTGTGACCAACCCCCTGGCTAACCCCAAGCTTCCCTGTCCATGCCCCACCAAGAGCTGCAAAGTGGGACCTTTGAGAGGTTCCACACCTGCTCCACATCACTTTTTTGGATTGTCCGGGTCTTTCAGCTTCATTGGCATTCTTGGGTCTGGGCTTTTGAGAAGAAGCAGTCTGTCCTGGAGCCCACTTCCCAAGTGCTTTGCACCACTGTACCCCTGTTTTGCAAGAGGTCTTCCCTGTAAACGGTTTCTTTCCAACTTCATCCTGATGCATTTCACAGCAAACCATCAAGAAAACCTCAGCCAAGCAGAGTGGTCACAGAAATTGAAGCCCAGACCTTGTACCTGGGAGGGAGAGTGATGGAAGAAGCTCCCCTGCTGGATGATGAGGTTGTCCCCCTGTGAAATGTGCTGCCCTGGAGACACACACCCCATGAGGCTCCAGCAGATGTGAAGGAAAATGTGATGTTCAGTGTTAAAATCCAGCTGATAACACATACTTTTGCAGCACCCTTCAGTACTTAAAGGCGCTTTTCTTTAAAATCCTACAACTTCCATCTGCCTGGGAGGTTGAAAGGCCAAAGTGTCCCACTCCTACTGGAATCGGAGTTACAGAGGATTTTCCTGTTTAAAACAAATGTAAAGAGGATTCTCAGAGGAAGAATTAAAAAACCAAAAGAAATCCAAGGATATTTTACGGATTTATTTTTGGAAAAGGGGTAGATGATGCTGGATGGAGCTGAAGAGGGAAGTGCTGGGGGAACCGATACCTTACGTTGTTAGTATGGGCTGTTTCACCCCAGACATCCGTTGTTTTGTACGAAGATGCCGAAATCAAGAAATGTGGATGGCTTTGATATGCAGTGGCTCGCTCGAGGCTGGAGTTGGGTACCCGCCAAGCAAATCTGCTTCTCACTGTCACAACAGGGAAGGTGACAGAGCCATGCTGCCAGGGGTGGGGGAGGCAGACCCAGCCATGCTGAGCGTCCCGATCAAAAGCTGTGTTTCTGAGCCATCAGGGACTCGGCCGTGGGACGGGTGGATGGATTAATCCAAACTAAAAACATCCTAAGCTCAGTTGTCCGTGCTTGGAGTGGAGGGGGGTAGTCTCTGCTAAGTGCTCTTCTACAGTAATTCCTAACTCACTTTTCTGTTCTCTCTCTGCCCAACAGGAACTTGTGTGAGGCAACGGGACAAATATGCTTAACTTAAGGACTTGTGCGGCAAAGCTGAGGCCCTTGACGGCCTCACAGACTGTAAAGACAATTTCCCAACACAAACCGGCAGCACCCAGGACGTTCCAACAGCTCAGGTGCTACAGTGCACCGGTGGCTGCCGAGCCATTTCTGAGTGGGACTAGTTCAAACTATGTGGAGGAAATGTATTATGCTTGGCTGGAAAATCCCAAAAGTGTACATAAGGTAAGGAGCAACCTTGCCAGGATGTCACTTTTGCTTCTCTGTGTGTCTGAGCAGTGATGCAGGTAAGTGCCTGCCTCCCGAGGAGGATCGAATTCAGCCATAGGGGCCAGATGATTGTGGACAGTCCTTCTGCCTCGCTTTGCCCCAAAGAAACGGCAGTGATTCCTTGAGCAAGAGCCAAGAGGAGCTTTCCTTTTCGAAAGGGAACACCGTGGGCTTGGGACACGGGCAGCATCCTGGATCACAAGCGGATACAAGGAATGGCTTCTCCTGGGAATCCACCCATAATAAGCTCCTGAAGCTGTATTTTTTCCATCTCTGATGGCTCACGAGAGGGTTTATTCCAGAGTGAAGAATACGGAAGCAGGGCAGGGAGGGTGTTCTCCACATCCTGACTGGTTTCCTTTTTGCGTCAGGCACGGGTGGTGTTCAGTATTGGGGCAGATGTGCTGTAGCTAAGCTTGCCTTTGAGCTGGTGCGTAAAGCCAGACCTGTGATCTACAGCCTGGGGAGGAGGACAGGGTCTGGCGGCCAGAGGGATTCCCACAGCTGCTCCTGAACTTAAAACTGGGAAAAAAAACCCAGCCGTGGGCATTATGTGCAGAGGCCTGTCCTGATCTGAATCCGTAAAGCTTCTCCAGCAAGACTGAGCTCATCAGGTGAGGGCTCAGCTGGGAAGAGGGGTTCTGAAACCTGACAGCGTTGTTCCCCATCCCCAGTGTGTCACAAGGAAGATGTTCCTCCAGCGACTAAGTCTCAGCATTACCCAGGGGATTTTTTGGGTTGTTTTGAACATGTCCTGGTGTGGAACAAGGGTTTTCTTTCTTCAGTAGCACATGAGCCATGTGCAGACCAGGATACAATGGGTAAATGAGCAATAGGGTATAAGGAATCCCACGCTCCGGCACTTGCGGCAGCATTGATTTGTTTTCAATGGCACTGATCTCACCTTCAGAATGCAGGT